TAACTTTTACTTATTGTATAATTACGACAAGGAAAGGCTGATTCAGAAAATCTTGCATAAAACTAATTAACAACTCTATTAACACAGTAGCTACATGTACACATAAAAATTGTGAATTCTCCAGTTTACCTAACGGTAATCTCACATCTATCAGGATGGAACATATCGTAGTACGTAGATAAAGTTAGAAAGGAATTTCAAAATTCTTTACATACAATTAACTGTCACACAATTATCGCGCCACATCGTCAGAATTCTAATCATTATCATTCCCGTGAGAAATGATGTATATAATAATGTATCGAGACTGCGCGTTTGTTCCTAGTGTAACACACCCATTATCTTCATAGGTGCCCGACTAGTTCTAAGTCGGCAAACTAGAACCAACCGATCCAGATACGTACTTCGGCTCTTAAGCTAAGCTCTGTGCTGTGGTCTGAGACCTGGTGCCTACTGCGGGCGGTGGTTCCCGGATCTCTATGGTTTATCGGAAATAAATCAGTTTCACTATATTTTACAATTTTCTCAAATTTTTGCCATCGACGCGGACAAATCTTTTACAGAGGTAACTTTTTTTAGAAAGCTATAAAAGACAACCATTTTATCGTTTTTGATAGATGTCTTAAAAAAAACTGTCATTTTATTATAGATAATCGGAAGATCACAAACGCTGTCGTCTATTAACTTAGACCAAGCCCTGCAAAGATTAAAGAGCAGTGTGTCGTTTTGTTTGTTTGCGGTTCCTCATTTTATAGTCGACGTGGGGAGAACCTTCCGCTCTAAAAACGTACGTAATTATCTGCGCGCGCGCGCATATAAAACATTAATGACTGGACACAACCAGATTTACGGTAATTTCATCAAGATGTAGATTCTTGTAAATTGTTACATTATCTTTTTATTGTTCGAATATAAACAATATAAAAAAAAGTGTACAACAAACATTTTCAGATCCTTTTTAACGACTTTACGAACTTCTATTGACGGCGGGCAGGTAATAGCTTTTTTGAAGTCAGTTTAATGCCAATTATCTTTTTTCCGGCTAACTTTGTATATTGCTTTATCAAGATATGTACTTCTTTTTCGATGCAACATGTCGCTTGTTTACATATTGCTTGGTATCATTTTATTAAGTTATTGTTGTTAATAATTAAACGTAATCTAATAATATTGGTTTTTATTATCGTCATTTTTCATAAATATGTCTTGCCTAAGGTTTTGTGACTTCAATAGTATAAATATATGTTTTTTTTTTTAAATTGACGTTTTTTCTACAGTTTAGTTACAAAAACGTTACTTAAGAATTTAGAAAAAAAATGGGACTTTTTTCAATATCTAATTTTATTGATATATTCAATAATATATGCTTTTATTAACTCGTGAGTTATTTACGTGGTTTAACAAATAAGTCTAAACCTATAGTTTATAATCAAGTTAATAATTTTGTATTGATCATTTGTGGCATGTAGCGCCACCTGTCATTAGCGGCCTAAACTAGCAAGTGATACAAACGCAAACGCAAGTGAATGCAGTAAGCATTGACTGATTTATGATACAACTCCAGTGGTACTGTGAATAACACATCATTTATGTCAATTGGTGATATTAGTGTATGGATAAACTGATAATGTAGACATCTTAAACTATATAATATCTTATCTTACATCTTATATTTTGCGTCACAATTAAGATGTTGAATTAAAACTGCAGAAATAGTGAATGACGTTTATAATATACAAGTTACTGTAACAATAATGAAAATTGAATTGAATGTTGAATATCTCACTAATATATTTTGTTGGGTTAAGTAAAGATGATTCGTATTAATATAATTCCCAAAAGTGGTTAAGCTCTTTTTCGTTCATATAAGACAAAAAGTCTTATAAGAATAGAGTAGGCTTATCTTTATGGGGTCAGTTTTACACAATGTTATGTTATTAATTAAAAATAGTTGACGTTACATACTATGATCCAGAGCTGAGATATAATTTTTTATTCTATCCTGTGACCCGCCTTTGCGAATGCTGCACAACTTAATCAGAATTGTTCGGTTGCGCTATTCTCAAGAACTTCTAATTCGAATTATTTTTGTGTTGAATAGTTCATTTATCGGGAAAGACTATTATCATCACGCTATGACTAATAGGAGTGGAGCATCATTGAAAATGTTGCAAAACAGGAAAACTACGCGAGCGAAGCTGGAGGAAAGCGGTAGCCTAATTATCTAATTTTATAATCTATTACTATCATTTTGAATTTGATATTTGTAAGATATTCAGGAATTTCAAGTTATAACTTTCTGACATGTGATAGTTTATTATGCATAAGTCAATTCTTGCTTGACGAACGCATTGACTCTATAACACGTTAGAAATAAAACAAAAGAATGAAAAAAGATATTATATGAAACATTTATACGCTCAAAATTGGCCTTCCAACACACGGGATATTTGCTGCCTTTCCTATAATTAAAGAAACTTTAGAGCCTTTTTGAGCTTCTCCGTATAAAATAAAACAAAAAAGTAGCCCTAGCTGAGTTTCTTGCCGGTTTCTTATCAGTACAAGGTCTCTTGTTAGCCAATTACACTTTCAAAAGTGCTTGTAACAGCCAAGACTGAATCAACAATATTTAATTAGCTATTATATGCATAAGTGCGTTTACCCACTAAGTTCTTTCTCATTACGAGTGAGAATATACGAAGCTGAAATAATGTTGCACAAGAGTTCATCGGTGTCGTAGGCCATCGAAGAGTCGTTTAATGTGTCGATCGCTTTACATAATAGCGCATTTGTGAAGCAATGTCGGACGACTCTTCATAAAACCAACGTTTATACACTACGACTTGAGCATAATTCATAACTGCATGATGTCAGTGTTTTGATATTTAATTAAACAACTTATGAATGCTGAATATTTCGAACCTTTTTCAGGTTTCATGCTCACTAGACACAGATATAGATTGTCTTAAAAATGTAAAATTATAACAATTGTATGCGTTAAGATTTTATGAAAACGAAATTTATGAAAACTCAAATTTGTATTTAGGTACTTATGTAGTTATATTAGGAGCTCGTTAGACTTATCGGATAATTAACCAAAATTGATGTTCCTCGAGCGATAAGATATTGGTTCTGGTTATTATGGTTCATCTTATGTAATTGTTTTCAGGATCTGTGTTTCAGCAGAAAAGCGTTAATGGGCTGATGATGATAGACTATTTCACATTTAAACGGAGCGATTAATTAATATATATAGTTAGACTAGCTTTCGCTAGCGGCTTCGCCCGCGTGGTCGCTAGGGCAATGGCTAAAAAGCATCATATTACCTAAGTTAGCTAATATCCTATCTGAATACCAAATTTTATCAAAATCCGTTCAGTACTTTCGGCCTGATTGACTGACAAACATCCAAGCAAAGAAACTTTCACATTATATTATGAATAGGATAAAGCCTTAAGATAATATCTCTTCTTTATCATTAATAAACAAGGTTTAGCGTTAAAGTAAATCGATATAAAAACGATATTTTGCAAGAGAACCTCATATAAGTTGTTACGCATTATTTATTATTAACATAGGATTCAATGGAATAGCTAATGGAATCCATCGTTATTATCCAAAAAAACTACGATCTAAAACAGGGATCCAACGCAAATGAATCTATTTTACGCTATAATACCAGTTTGGATATTTTGTTTATAATCTTAGATTATTTTATATTTGCAGTCTATAAAGTATCTATTTTTAAAATATCTATTTGTATTAATTGCAATTTAGAATATCTGCAACTTCATGCATTCCTTGCAGCGATTTCTTATATTTATTATTATACAACCTTCAATCTCTAAAATGATGTCACCAAAGTTCCATAATATTATTTAAAATATAAATATTTACTATTTTAATTATTTAAACATCTGTCGTTCAGTTTAGGTAAATTAATACTTCCGAACTATTAATATCCACTCTACTTAAAGGTAAAACATTGTAGTGTATTAAGGACACTGGTTATAGACATATCTAAATACTTAAAATATATAAGCTAAATAACTAAATAAACGTTACATAATGTTTTTAAATAAAAGTACAGAATATAAATAAAAAAAAAAATTAAAAATTACTTATTAAAAATTACTCATGACTCACGTAACACAGGTATAATAAAGTCAATACTGTCATCACATGTATCATTAAGCTCGCTCGCGTTAATTAAGCTTCACCTGACATATGTCACACGTCCCCCCTCGTGGTACAGAAACCCCCACTTTTAGGACAGTCATTGCCCCCCTATAACGGTCCAGGCGGGGCCTCCGCGATACACACCAATCGCGGCAAATGCTGCGCGCGCGCCGATCATCTAAACGAATGATCTAGCGTGCTTGTCATTTCGCGAGCACACGATTGGTCGCAGATAAAGCATTCCGTCGCGCAACGTTTTCGGCGCGATCTAGTTTTCGAACGATCATTAATGTCAGCGTGATTTAAATATTTCTGAACTCTGACCTAGTTTTTTGTTTAACTTTTTGTTGAGGTTTATGTTAATTTCGTTTTATGATGGAGCTTATTAATATTTATGAGCATCGTATGCTATCATACGCAGTCGTAGTTCATACTTTGAAACAAAGACGGAACGTCTTCGGGTTACAAAACCGCAAAGCACGGCACACCTCTCCAACCGATCAATAAATATCTAAAGAGCAGCCACCTGCGCTGGCGCGTTGAGACCAAACAAATAAATTACCCAAGAAGCAGCGACGAGCGAACAAAATAGCTGCGCGCGCAACCATACACTACGTGTTTTATGGACCTATAACGCATTGAGAAAGTAACTGTAAATTTTGAATACGGCCTTCCCACCCGGTGTCCGCGTGCCGACTGACTGATGAGCAAGGCTTAACCTCTGATAATAAGTGAAGGGGACGGGAATAGCGCACAAGAGCGCGCGCGAGCGAAACAGCCTATGTATCTTCTTCGGTAATCGTGAAGTGCAAGATGAGTATACAGTCACACACGGACCACATCCGAGTGAGGCTCGGGGACGGTTTAAAAAACGAACCGCGCGATTCACGCTGCGCGAACGCACGGGCGCGCGCGTTCTGTTTACGAATTTGCATGTGCTAATTTTTTTTTAACGGACTCGTTCGGGATTTCTTTTGGCTATGATCTTTTTAGTCTGTAAGGACATTTGTTCTGTGATGTACCAGTTCTCAAAATTAGTGTCATGTGGTAAAAATTAAAAACGAAAATTCGTAGCAGTTAAATGTGGAAAAAAATACTATTCGAAATTTGAGGAACTCCTGACTTCAGCTGTATCAAAAACATTCAAGGTAAGAGAAAAACTATTTTTAACATAAATCAATACAAACTTTTAAAATTTTATTGATAAATAACTGAATGTAGAGTCTTATATTAAGCTAAGTTGTTATTCATTCTCTATTTACAAGCAAAAATATGTACAAGCAATTTAAATTCTCTCAAACATCTCAACACACGTCACTTAAACAGTTCTGAACTTAGGTCAGGTATATCACACGATTATGATTGATTAAGCTAAAGTTATTATTGTAAGTTGCCCAACATCACGTCTATCATATCACGAATTAAAATCAACCTTGGCAAATTAACATTGATTACTCGTATATCTGCATTTATATATGAGATCACTACAATTTTAACGACATTAGAAAAGGTTTAATTTATAAAAAGAATCGAGCGACAAACAAAAAAAAAATTGCACTTTAAAGTATTATTATATTTTTAATGCCAAATGAGTGAGTGAATATATTACCAGTATTTTAATAACTAGATTAGAAACCTTGACCTGTTAAAACATTTCCATCATTAAAAACTGATAGATTATTTGTACGAAAGACACAATTCGCCGTCCGCGCGATATTAATTTGATAGTGAACGTATGCCCTTATATGGGCGAACACTAGATAACTTGGGTAAGTTTCAATTATGTTTTATACTTAATGTTAACTTTACAAGATGAGATATCCAATTGGCGTGAGATTTTGCGATGCGATTGGGATGAGCTTATGTAATTACTTTATGACCTAATTTAAATAGCTCATGTACAATGAGCACCAAATAATAAGAATCAAATGCTCAATTGAAGTTATTTATATATATTAATCTATCGATATATTTATGCTATAACGTTATAGTTATATATAGACAGGAATAGCTTTTAATAATATGAACTAGTCAGTATACTTAAAATTGGTAGCGCTCCCTTTTGGAGGAAGCAATGAATAATAACAGAGGATTATTTTGAAATTTATCCCTCGTCTTTTATTTAATGTACAATTATTGTAGAAAGTTGACTAAAGCTGGATAAGATAATCTCTGTGGAGATTTGTCCTAATATTTTTTATCCTTTACCATCTTAATCTTCACTAGTCATTGTGAATAACATATAAATATTATTTATAATTTGGCTAACCCATCATTTATTTTGTCGCTCGTTATCACAAAAGTAGAAGAAGTTGAAAACAGTGCTTTTTTCAAACATTCATATTAATCATTTGTACCATAAATTTTGTTACTGGAAAAAACAATTTAATATTACAACATCTTTTATTGTTCAAATAGACCTTTGAAATTTCAACTAAACTAGGTTGATACAGAGATAAAAGGATAAAAATACACGGAAAGGCTTTTCCCTGTGCTTTAAGATTATCTGTATTAAAAGCGGCAATTTTCTTGTTTCTTTCGTGATTGTTTGCTTTGAATAGGCCCTAAAATTATTACTACGATTTTTTAATATCCTTTCCCCTACAAGTAGCTACATCATACGCGGTAATATAGGCTATAACATACGCAATAGCCTCGTAATAAAATTCGTACCTTCATAATAAACTTTGTTCTAAGCATAATGATACATAATTATACCCGGTCATTATCCACGGCGTTATAATTTATAAATCGGCCATTCAAGTCAGAAAACAAATAGTTTTTGAGATAAGAACAAACCAAAAAAAAAACGACTTTCTTTGATCTAGCAATCCAACTCGGATTCGAATGGGTGATAAATGTTTCTTAATGAACATGTGTGACTCGGCACATTAAACGATAAAAAAAAAATTAGTTATTTTTAATATTGTAATTAAAAGTGAATTTATAGTCTAATAAACTTATTTTGCAGTTTGACTTTTCTGTGTGTCTCCCTGTCTTAGGGAAAAAAAAGCAGCCATTGCTGTGTTTTTTGCTAGCTCTTCTCAGTACAAACACTCCCGCCGTAAATGGAAAGAATCTCGCGAACCAATACCATCTTACGAGTTTAACAAGCACTTGTAACTAGACAATTTTCAACAATAATTATTTAATTCGAATGAATTTCGGAAGCTTCCTCTTTTAGTGAAAAATCGAATGGATATATGTTTTTAGTTTAGGAGTAGCTATTCGCCTAATAGAATCAGAAAGTGACAGCGGCGGATAGCGATCTTAATATAGATTATATGAATAGGAATATATATATTCAAGATAAAAATAAAATCTAATAAAATAATAGACAGTATAAGTTTATTTTTTAATAGAAATGTCTATTATATACTCGTAATATATTACTATTATAAACACCGTAAATTACAGCAATATAAAAAAAACGTGAGGTTATACAAAGTAAAAAGACATTTATGCATAATTTTAATAGATTATTGGAAGAATTTATTTCAATAATAACACGTTACTTAATACAAAAGCAATATTATAAATTACCGTCCGCCACAAGACTGCATAATAAAATCAATAAGGTGCCATAAATTGATAAATATAAAATAAAATATTAATTCAATGAGATTATATTTACAAGTATTTTACCCACAATAATTTTTAACGAAACCACTAATAGATTTTTTACATTGACATTTACCGTATAATATTTCAATAAAGTTGTATCGAAAATAGGTTTTTATTATAAAAGTTTGTTAGAATAACGTTGGTCATATTTGTACCCCCGCAAAAAGTAACAGTGTCTGAGTCTGAGCACAACATAAAGTACGAAGATTATTAGTTTTGCATTAAATTTTAACTAGATTTCTGCCAGCGCGCTTCTGTATTATAGATATATATAAATCTTTCTCTTGAATCTGTATATTGAAGGAAGCCGCATTAAAGTCTATTGTGAAGTTAAAGACTGCGGAAGCAGCTTTGTTTTATATTGTGTATAGATGCATACCACTCATGAAATTATCGGTTTGACGCATTTGGTGCACTTCGCAACTTGTACACCATGCTCAAATGCTACACTTCTCAACCTGTGCAGTTTCTCAAACGGTGCATATTGCACCTGGTGCACTTCGCAAATGGAGCACTTTTTAACATGAGTGGAGATTTGGAAAATTGTGTAAAATAAATATTTGTCACATGATTCATAAAGTATAGATTATCTAAAAACTTAGTTTTTGAATTTCATTAACGGTGTTATGATTATATTATCCTTTTTGTAGATTGATTATACTTTTTATATTTTTATGTAAATAAATATACTTCATAATCTATATGAATAAATTTTTTAAGTAGTCAATAAAGTCGTCTTGCACTCGATTCTCGTATTACTTCAGCTTTCCTCAGGTTTCCCTATTCCTATTGAGCTATTGATAATATACTAGGGACAGATATAATTGAATATACTAAGTTATATCTTGTTTTATATAACAAGACTAGGTCAATACCGTCATCATAATGTGAGAAATAAAACATGGGAATAAATCGCGGAGCAACTATATTCACCAGATCGTCCTGTTCCTCAGCGACGATTTGGGCTTAAAAAACTTGCTCTATAAGCAGTCTGCGTACTAAGAGTCGCAGTAGCTGAGGCGAAAGCAGCTGTGGCAGCTGGACGGAAACCCTCAGATCTAGAGCTTGTCGTGCAAATGGCAACGTTGGAAGCAGAAAGCAGTAGGAGTGGCAAAATTTGTTGTTCACGCTCTTCATTAGCAAACTGGTTAGCATAATTAAATATTTATAATACCGGGTATTAGACGTATTTTAACACTGACCTGCGCTGACGAGGCAGCTATTTCCTCTTCCAAGGTCAATGTTACCTTAAAATTGATGGCGCAGCAATGAGAAGTCCAGTGGCCACAGTACTTGCCATCATTTGGATGGAGCATTTCGAAGAAAAGGCACTATTATCTGTCTCTAGTATACTGAAGAATTGGAAGAGGTATGTAGATGACGTATTTAGCGTGAATACGCGTGGCCAACAAAAAACACATCAACTCTTCAACCATATAAACTTCATTTACCTGAATATTCGGTTTACATACAAAATGGAAGCCGAAAGATCGTTGAAATCGCGAGAACTGATGGGTCCCTAACGTACCGATAACCAACGCATACGGATAGATACCTAAACGCAAAATCTGTAGTAAATTCGTTAAAGAAATGAGCATACGATCTCTGTGGCCGTGAGCATTTAGAGCAGGAGCTACAGCATGTTCAAGAGGTGGTAGAATATACATAGAAACGTATACAATGTAATGGGATGACAAAAGCAGCCAGTAGAGAGGTACAAGCATCCTATGGTGAATAGACACCCACCTCCCTATACGCCTTATGTCATGTCAGGAAGGTGAACACGGTTAAGATTTTAAACATTTATGGTGGAAAAAGCTTATCAAATCCTCTACCATCCCCCGCCATAGTTAACATTTCCTCGCGTATTGGTACTTTACTACAAAATTGAAATGGAGAGACGAGACAACCCACTGAAACAATATTTATTAGCACAGGCTATAGTAGGGTAGTCCACGAAGCTAAATCGGGATTTACTCGGGCGTCTTATAGACATGTTGGGTAGCGAAGCTTAAATGATAAAAAGAAAAAAAATGACATATGATATATACCATTTCATGGGCAGGGGAGCAGCTATGGATTTTCAAAAATTTAAAAAGAAACTATTGCATGAACATACGAGCGCGTTAGATCGAGACGTTGCGTAATCTAACAATATATTTTTTAAATCATCGAATTTAATAAAAAAAGCTCAGGAAATATCCATGTCCGTCTATCCATGGTTTAGCTTTAAAAACTATTTGTACTAGAAAGTTTTAATTTAATTAATTACGCCGATAAAATGGTAAAGTAAAATTTTAAAATAAATTCTGTTATAGACGTCTCCCAAAAGGGTTACACGGTTATAAGTATTGAAAATTATCTAAAGAGGCTTGTAATTTTTTCAAATATCGAGCAAAACATAATAAACTTTTACATAATACAAACTTTGTAGCTCCCGCGATCGAAAGTGATTTACAAAGCAATAATTCGAACTTATTTTACCATAAGACCGACGAAAAACATTGTAGTGGTCTAGTAGCAT